CACTCAGTTTGACTATGGTCAAAATTCGGAACCCATTTGGAGTTCAATTTATATCTAAGATTTACTTATTAATTGGGAATATTACAGCATTTACCCAAATTGGTATAGTAATTAACTCTTTCTTTCTATGAATTGGTATGATTCAAATCAATATATTGGTGTTGTTTTCTTATAATTATATAGTCTAAGCATCATCAGAAACTCACCGGCCTAGCGTCAGACCTAATATTAGGAATTAGGGAGACAATTTTAAAAAGCCTAAAGCCGTCATAACCTAACATTTTTGTTGGATGAATCTGAATCCACTAACCATTACAGTATCAAATACTTGGAGTCTAACGCAGAGTTGACAAGAAATGAAACCTTTCTTCAATTCTTATTACAAAAATATCAAGTCATCAATTTTACCATTATTCCATTTGGACCCCATCATCTTTATATTTTCCTAATGTGGGTCCTTAATTAAACTCAGCCAAGAGTAGACAAATCACCTGGCCCACTGTATAAAACTATAAATTAATGTGCTGATCGCAATTATAGGATTTTACGTTGCATATATCAGCAAAATGCCTTGTCGTATCTTTATTGTTTTTTGCGCTTAAAATATTACTTCACGTTCAATGGTCTTTTGAACAAAAATCTGTGCTCGCAATTGTAATTTTAAATTGGTTAGTGGAAGTTACGGTAGTATCTCACGATACGTTCAAAAATTAGGGACTTCGTTACAAAAGAAATATGTAGATGTTCAGTAAGATGTTACTAGCTAGTCCAATGTGTAACTACTACCATTAGAATATATAAATACATATTATTGGTTTAATTTTATGGCCTTGTGTTTAGTGATATGCCATGTTTGTGGCGGCGTGAACGGAATAACAGAATCCATAGAGTTTTTTTAAGGTTTGCTTCATTGTAAAAAAAAAAAATCTAGTTGATTTTACAAATGAAATTAGGTGAGAGTTCTGTTTTCGAATATAACAATAAGGTTTAAAATGAAGGTTTATCAAAAATAAAAACCTTTAAAATGACGTAGACATCCATAAAACATGAACGCAATTGTACTGTTGAGAGAAGTGAATCTTTAATTCACTCCAACTTCTCTAAATTTCTGAGCTGCTTGAGTCATTGAGTTTTGTAGCTGGTATATAACGGTACGCTTCGCATACCATAATTTAAGTAGTCATCAAATAAGGAATCAAGTATCATCATTTTCGAATGACTCTTCCGTCTAAAGATTCAAATTTGCTGTAGAATTGGTTTCAGAATGACTCCCATTCATGACATTGTCCTCGTAAAACTGTTGTCTTAAGACCAATTAACAAGGAACTGATCTAATAAGTTAGTTCAATTTTTTTGCTTTTTGTAAGGCCTCTATTTTTGATCGCAACAATATATATATCCGTTTATAAATTCTATAGAAAATTGTTAAAAAAAGTTTAGTATAAAATTTGAAGTAAATAACGTATGGTCTCCATTTAATCTCGCTGATTTAGTTGGCGTACGATCTTAAGTCTGACGATGTATTCGGAGAACCCACGTACGTTCCAAATCAGGCTCTCTAACTTATAATTATATACGTTATATAACTTATAAGACGAAACGCGACGTATAACTACATAAACAAAAGGAAATGATCTTTAAACAGCATCACACTATTTGGATTTATGTTTGATCACACACATTCTGATATGTAAAAAAAATAAAAATAAAAATATGACGTTAGCATCTCACCCTTAGTGCAATGGTGGAGTCACTCGTGTAGCTACATCACGCTTGTAAAGTAGCTTCACCGCTTCGTGAAAGGTTATATCTGAATAATAGATAATGATATATAAAAAAGAAATGTATGATAATTCCTCCATCCCTATATATGATTTAGAGAAATTAAACCAATAATATCATATCTTCTCCAATAGCATTGAAGATTTTTCTCCCTCCTTCTCTCTCTACTTATTTTTATTTTCCTAAATCTTTGGAGCTTGTAGACGTCGTGCCGTTTTTATTTGAAAATCTAGAGGGAGAGAGATGGAGGTGAAGGTTAGAAGAAATGAGTTGGTACCTTTTGTAGCAATGGCGATAATGGAAGCATGCACGATTGCTCTAACGATAATGGCCAAAACGGCGTTGACGGGAGGGATGAGTCCTTTTGTGTTCGTTGTGTACACAAACGCGTTTGGATCTATTCTTCTTCTTCCATTTTCTTTATTCTTCCACAGGAATGAGAGGTCGGTCCACGTTCATATTTTATATCATAGACTCATAGTATATATGATATATATCACTAATCAATCTTGGTTCTTTTCTGATATTCCTTGGTTTATATGATGATATTTTAAATTATACTTGCAGAACAGAACAATCTATCTTCTCTTGGCCACTCCTCGTTCGTGTTTTCTTTCTAGGTTTCACCGGGTGAGTACATCATCTCTCTTTATTAATTACTGTTTTCTTAGGAATCTATCCTATAGGTTATGAGTCGCAGACCAGATTCTTACGTACCAATATTATTTTGCAAGAACAATAACCAGGTGGTCCTAAAACCAAAAAAAAATATGAGGTCCATGTTTCGAAAATCTATACGTACATGTATCAACCACTAATTGGTTCGATGAATATTCTATGACATGGATTTGCAACGTCATGCATCTATTAAAAACATACAAAACTGCGTGCCGATTACTTGGTTATAAAAAAAACAACTAGGCCTAATGTTCTATTATTTTCCACATCGTGACGTTTCTTTGTGAGCGGCGTATACTACACACCATGTTTTATTTGTGTTCCTAAAATAAAAAACTTGTGTGACGTATGTTGGGTCATGATAATTTGCTCACTTGCGAGAACGTACACACGCATTTGCATGCATTTTGAACGTACTTAAAATGTTATTCATGCATACACATGCACTGATTATATTGCAACGTTTTCAATATGTGAAGGATATTTATGTTCCAAAACTTGGCATTTGTGGGACTAAGATTCAGCTCACCCATAGTCGTATGTGCAATGGGACTGCAAATCCCTTCCTTTTCCTTCTTGCTCTCTATTCTTCTCGGGTAAGCAATCTCTCATCACCATTTCAAAATATCCATGTACCCTTTCAAATATATAATAGATATCTATGCATATATAGAAAGAGCAAGTTGGATTGGAGAAACACGAGCACGAGGGCTAAACTGATGGGAACAATAATCTCATTAAGCGGAGCATTTGTTGAAGAGTTGTACAAAGGTCCTTTCATAAGACCAGCTTCGTCTGCTTCCCCAACTCGTTTTCTTAAATCGGTACCTAAACTTTTGGTCTACTACAACCTCCCCGACAATTGGTTTCTTGGCTGTATCTTTTTGGCGGCTGCGGTTTTCTCTGTCTCCCTCTTCAATGTTATTCAGGTACTCAACAATAATATAAACAATCCATTACTGAAATTAAACCATTGTTATGCTTATGCATGTTAATTAGTTTGAGATGAATATTTCTTTTGTCTATCTTTGGCAGACAGGGACGGTAAAACAGTATCCACATGTGATGAAAGTGGCTTCGTTTTACAGTATAGTCGGGACGATCCAATGTCTAATATTCTCGTTATTTATGGAGAGCGACCTAAGTGCATGGAAGATCCAACCTAACTTCGATCTTTATCTCATTATCGCCACGGTAATTAAATCTACTTTCTTTTTATAACAATGCATTTCACTAGGTTTGAATCCCAAGTAGTGATGTAACGATTACACTAGAACAAGACTACATGTTCAATTAAAAGATGAAATACATATAGTTATGGATCGTAATGAACGTGTTTTGGTCACTATGATGATGTGTAAAAAAACAGGGAACATTCGGAAGTGTGATACGAACAAGCGTACACGTAAAGTGCACTCAAATGAAAGGACCTTATTACGTGCCATTATTCAAACCCTTTGGTATCTTTTGGGCAACACTCTTTGGCACCAGCTTCTTCGTCAACAGTCTTCACTACGGCAGGTCCGTGAAAAGATTCATTAATCAATATCCTAAGTACTAATTAGCATATTATCACGCATGAGTATTAAGCTGTAATTGTTGGTGCATATGGGTGCAGTGTGTTAGGAGCAGCCATAGCTGGTGTGGGATATTACACAGTGTCTTGGGGACAACTGAAAGAAAGCGAAGAAAAACAAAATCCAAATGAAGAAAGAAAATCCATCAAAAATATTCATCATTGCCAAGAAGATGAACACAAAGTTCCATTGCTTATTAATCAGGAAGAAAGTCCTGTGTGAATTTTGTATTATATATTTTTCAGAAGAAAATGAGGGTCGCTTAAATATATTTTTGGCCCCTTTCTTCTTTTTATGGCGTGAATAAGGAAAAATGGGTGTGAGAGTGAGTTAATTGATCAGTGTCGTATGTGATATGGGAGATTGCTGAAGTAGGCTTTTTGGTCCGAAAAGCAAAACCTGCCCAATAATGTATATACATGTCTTTGAATATCTAGAGCTCGCTCTTATGTATCTATGTAATGAATAATCTCCAAAGCCATAGATCGACTATTGTATTCCTGCCATCAAATCTAATATAAATATCTTCTTTTTACAACATCTAGTGTAAATATCTACATTGTTGAAGTTATTCAATGCGAGAAATTTTCATTTGGCTACGAGAAAATTCACATAATTAAAGTCGCGTATGTTAAGTTGTATAGGTTTCTAACTCAAAATGAAATGATAAAAAAAATTGATTAGTCATTTTGTTTATAAATTATTTATGGTTCTATCTAAATTTATATGTAGATTCCTAACACACTTCTTCGATGGCTCTTACATAATACATAGTGCCACAGTGGTAGAGACTAAAGAGCATTATTTGAAATATTTTTTACGTAGTAAATGTAAAGCATAAAGAGGGTTAAGTCAATGTATATTTGAATTGAGAAGCCATATCGCCCCAGAGTTGTAGATAATGCCCATCCGCTTCAAAGGTCCACCGTCCTGTGAGACCAAGTTTAGTCACTGAAACAAACAGGTCTTAAGGATTAAATACAATCAGGGCGTGGAACTTAAACACTGAAACAAACAGACCCATTTCAGTGAACAACGATGTTGGATGTCTCATGTCTACATCTATCTCCTAATATAAGCATAGAATATTTTGGGTTTTCATTTCCACATGAATAATTAATGGTGACTACAGTAGCAAAATCTAATTTAGATTTCATCAGCAAACCGGTAAGATGATCTCAAAACCTTACCAACTTGTAAGAATAACACTCGTCTTTTGCTGGCCTTGGTTTAGGAAGATCTTGAGCTATCTTGATTCTCTTCTACAATATCTTGAACAACTTGTTCGGAATAATATGAAGTGTCTTGACTTGGTTTCAAGAAGCTTGAAGTCTCTTGAATGTCATCAACAGTTATTGGAATTGTTACCTCGGGTAAACATAAAAGAGGCTTCGGTGGAATCTGGAGAGCCTCTAGACTTCCCTCTAACATTTCAACAACTTTGCTCATTGGTGGACGATCATATGGATTGGTTTGAATACACCACAGACCCACCAATACCATTTTCTTTACTATCTTCTCACCTTCTTCTCCGGTAATTTGATCTGCCAAAAAACTCATGATTTCTCCTTTCTCAAGATCTTTATAGATCCAATCTGGAAATTACATTGAAGTGTTATTGGATCCAAAATTTTGAGCCCTTTCTATGTTCCTTGCTCCAATCATCTCAAGAACCACCATTCCATAACTATACACATCCGACTTATGAGAAACTCCTCCAAAACTCTGGGAAAACACTTCTGGGGCAATGTACCCAATCGTGCCTCTTGCATGTAGCATTGACATGATGCTTTCATTATTTTTGCATAGCTTAGCAAGACCAAAATCCGAAATCTTGGGGCAAAAATCTCCATCCATGAGTATGTTTTGTGGCTTTATATCGAAATGTACAATCCTTGATACACAATGGCTATGCAAGTATTCTAGGCCATGAGACACACCTACCGCAATGTTGTATAATGTTTTCCATTCCATCTTTGCCGACATCTTCTCAGAGATGAACTTGTCAAGGGATCCATTCGACATGAACTCATATATTATAGCTTTCTTTCTCCCTTCATAACAGAATCCAAGCAGAGAAACTATATTAGCATGAGATGTCCTACTCATGCTAGCTATTTCATTGATGAAGTCTTCCCCATCCCCGTTTGACTCCTTCAAGATCTTCACTGCAACATCTCGGCTGCCATCGGGTAACTTCCCTTTATATACAGTTCCAAATCCCCCTTTCCCAAGAACATTCGCAAATGAGTTTGTCATCTTCTTGACTTGTACATAACTGAAACGTTTCATCATTACAACTGCTTCCATGTTCTTCTCATTCCAATCACTCTTTCTCGTATTCTTTGCTCTAACCCTTACCACAATCACAATAATGATCATTGTAGCCAAAACAGATGAAACTCCTACAAGAGAACAAGCATCAAAACTTAGGTGTTATATACATCATAAATAAGTAAGATAGTTGAGAGTAGTTTCCCAGGTTGCTTCTAAAGTGTACCAAGTATGAGTTTTAACTTCAATGGAAAATTTCCTGCAAATGTATCAAAGAAATAATTTATGTTAACAAAAGAAAGAAAAATGATACATTCTCGTAGGTCAAAGAACAGAGAACTTACCTTTTGCTTCTGCTCGAATTTTCTTGGGGGAAGAACCGTCAACATTTCCTGCCCTTGGGACCGTTGAGCTAATGATGTTTCTTCAACAAGTAACTTAATTACATATATATCTTCAATATACATATAAGCATCAAACTCAAATGTTTGGATTACCCACAAACATGTTAGGAATCCAACATAAAAATAACGAGAGACATGTATAGAATTTTTTTTGAAAATGAAATAGAGGTGGAAGTTGCGGGAATTAACCTGGTTTTGTTGTGACTAGACGGGCAAAACGTGATGACAAAGTTGGAGAAGTATGGACAAGTGAAACTGCTGTTATCAAAGTCGTAGATGTAGCTATAAGCGCTTGGGCACGCGTGGTTGAAAGTCCGCGAGTAAATCGTCCGCTTGCATATTCCCGGTGGTACGACCATTCCAGAGGAGAGTCCGACACAGCAAAGCTCGGGCAACTGGTATCTCTGACAGGTGGTCATGCAGGCTATTGGATGGTGCGATCTGTTCACCATTAGCTCCGAGGGACACGTCTCGTTCATGTCAACAACGCATCCAGTGCTTCTGCAGTTTTTGTTCTCAGGGGTCACAAGCAAAGGGAGGTTGTAACCATCGATGACGTTGACGACATAATAGTCACCGTAAGAAGCGAGTTTAAAGTCGGCCACAGTTGTTGGATCTATGGGGTTACCGAGGCATTTGATTTTTCCGGAGGCGCAGTCTCCCGTGGCACATGAGAAAGCCCCTGTTGAGTTAGTGGAGCAGATCGTCCTACCCCAAAAACGACCTGTCCATGATGGTGGCGCTTTGATGGTCCGCGTCTCTCCTTTTTCGAGAACAAAACCGGTTGTTTCCAGTGATCTCTTGTAGCCGTAGGTTGCAGGCCAGATGATGTATTCGCATTTGTTTTCTATCTTAAAGCTCCTTGACATTGCTACATATAACAAAACAAAATCCGAGATATATTGCAGAGATTTTACACGTATAAGGAGTAGGTGAAGAGTTTGGTTTATACCTGGAGGTGGAGGGAGCATCTCAGCTGGCGATGGAGGTGACGAAGCTGATAATTAAACAAAACAATACTAATACTGAATATCAAATTGCAAATCTTGGATTCATAATTTCAACGAGAAAGATAGAAGTTGTAAGAGTTGACGGAAAAAAAAAAGAAACAGAAAAAAAGGAAAGGAAGATGTGCATTGGGTAGCCTAAGCTGAATCTTTCTTTTGTATTATTTATACTTCATGCAGAGTATAACGTTTGTATTTGATAAATAAACTCCCACCAATAAACTGAATAATTCAATAATACACAATGGAGTGAACGAGAACCACTTGAAATTCGATTCAAAATTGACAAACTAATACACTTAAAGAGTACGTAGGTGAAGAGTTTGGTTGATAATATACCTGGAGGTGGAAATATAATTTCAGGTGAAGGTGGAGGATGTGGTGGTGGTGGAGTTCCAGAACCTGTAAATTAAACGAAACACCTATCAAATTGCAAATCTTAGATTCATAATTTGCAACGCGTAAGATCTTATTTTATAAAATCGAAGATTTGAGAGAATTGAATTACCGAAACAAGCGGAGAGATCAGTGTTGACGCCACATCGACGATTGAGACTGAGAGCTTGATCAGTAGTGATGTTGAACTGAGCGAGTAAACCAGGAGTGTTGTAGATGGTGCAGAGACAGCTAAAATCTTTCTCCACCGCTTCCTTGATCGAGTTGCAACAATCCCTCGACGGCTTTGTTTTCGTGTCCATGAACCTGAAGCAGGGGACTATCTTGCTCACACACTCACTCTGTGCTTCAACCGCCGGCACCGTAACCAAAACCATCGCCGCCGTGAAGATCATCATCGCCGTTGTCATTCTTCTTTCTTGGAAATGGAGGTCGAGCGTTTTTTCCTTTGTGTGGCTTTTAGTTTTGCTTTAGAGGTTTTATAATAATGTATAATTCAACGGTCACAAATTAGTCCCGCCGTTAAAACAGATAAGAGAATCAAAACAAAACATATGAAGTCAAACAGATAAAGTAAAGCTACCGTGCCCTACAAGTTACGATCATAAGGAAGCCTAAATTGATGATGACTAAAACAGAATTAACACCCTCAATCTCAAAGCCCAATCACTAAAAGCCCATTTTCATACATCAATTACTCAAGACTTTTAATTAGCTCTTGTTACTTCAATTTGAAGTTAAAATCGTTTTTAATCTCACACAAAAAAAAAGTTTTTTCCCGTCTAATGTACTATCTGGGGGAAAGGGTAAACAAAATGAAGATTCTCTTAGAAAAAATAAAAATAAAAAGACAAAAAAAGTTGGGAAATAAAAGACAAAACACACATCTCTGGGTCTTACTCGTTATGCTCTGCACAAATTAATACAAAACCCAAAAAATACCTGCAAATTTGCATAGAACATCACAAATATCCTCTTATTCACGGTGCCCATCCTTTTCTTGCCAGTTGCCACTAGCTTCCACAAAGTCCGCTTAAAATTTACTCAAATCCAATACACCAATTAATAGGTCAAACGCTATTAAAATTTGTTTAACAATGTTTTTGGCCATGAACATCATTATTTCATTATTACTACAACTCTATTACACTATTTTCTTCTAGACCCGGTCCATTATACAACTGGAATTCTAATCATTATCACAGCTATCTACGCCCTAATTATAATATAATAGAACGGGCATGCTAGTGGCTATTGTAGTACGTGGACAGTTTAAGGCCAATAATTGAAGGATTCCAAATCAAGAACAAGGTACATGCCATGTAACTACTTAATTAATTTGAATATATTGCAAAATTAAATAAAACTTAAAAAAATTGTTCATATATATCTTTGGAAAAATCATTGCCAGCTACACGAATTATACGCCAACACATCACCACACATGCAGACTATTTTAATGTCTCGCTAACTACACGAACTATTGGTATTACATACGGACATCCCCGAACTATCATCGGTTATGTGTGCAACACCATAACCATCATTTTCAGATAATATAAATGTTTTGTTAACTACACGAAGTATTTCTTATTTTTTTTTCAACTACACGAAGTATTTTCCATCAAATTTTTTTTTAAAAAGTAATTAAAATATAAAAAATAACTAAAAAGTAAATATTACACTATTATAAATTATATATATATTATAACTTTTAATGCATTATACTTTTAAGTTAAATTAATTTAACTAATTTAATATTTATTATATTAAATTGTTAAAAATTTAAAATAGTCACTTAGTTAAATTATACATCACTATAAGTTAAATAAAACTATATAATATATCAATGTAAATTATATATACCATAACCATCATTTCCAGATAATATAAATGTATTGTTAACTACACAAAATATTTCCATCATTTTTTTAAAACTAAATTACAAAATGAAAAAATAACTAAAAGTAAATAATACACTATTGTTAATTATATATATGCATTATAACTTTTAAAGTTTAAATTCTACATATGCAGTATCCCTTATAATTTTAAGTTAAATTAATTAACTAATTTTTAATGCACACATATGTTTTATATGAAATTAATTTAACTAAATTTTTAAAAGTGTCACTTAATTAAATTAGGGGCTTTTGCAAAAATGTCACTTTTTCAATGCCACTTTTCAAAAATACCATTTTTTAAACCTTATAAAAAATGCTCTTAAAAAGGGATATTTTTAACAATTTCCCATTAAATTATACATGTTCATTAAATTTTTAACAATTTCCCATTAAATTATACATGTTCATTATAGGTTTAAGTTAATTAACAAATTTTTAATGAACACATATATTTTTTATGGAACTAGTTTAGTCTTTATTACATTAAAATTTTAAAGTTAGAATAGTTATAATGTACATATATAATTTACATTGATATATTATATAGTTTTATTTAACTTATTAGTTTAAAAAAAAATTGATGAAAATACTTCGTGTAGTTGACAAAAAAAAGAAATACTTCGTGTAGTTAACAAGACATGTATATTATTTGGAAATGATGGTTATGGTGTTGCACACATAACCGATGATAGTTCGGGGATGTCCGTATGTAATACCAATAGTTCGTGTAGTTAGCGAAACATTAAAATAATCTGCATGTGTGGTGATGTGTTGGCGTATAGTTTATGTAGCTGGCAATGATTTTTCCTATATCTTTTGTACCTTTCTCCATTGCTTGAATAACGTCAGAAATAACCAACCAAATAAGTATCATCCATGTATTTTTTTTTGGTATCTTATCCAAGACAAGAAACTAAAATACCTAGCTACGTTTTGAAATCCCAAAAAAATAAATGATTACACCTTTTGGCATATGCGTGTAAATGAATGATATCATAGGATCTTCAACAATCAATGTTCATCATTTAAACCTTCCATCGCCGCAACATCTCGATCATAATCTCGTTCCACGTGTCAACCGGACCAGGTAGACACCAATGCAAACAATCATTATGAACTCTCTGCGGTACACCGTTCTTGAACGGAAATGAGTACATGTATGGACCAGGATGTCCATCTGGTCTCAACACCGACATCGCCGTCACGTCCAACGCCGCTAACCTCACCTCCCCCGCCGCCGCTTTGGCCGCAGTAAATTCCTCCATCTCTATCTGCCGCATATCTAAGTCCAAACCTTCTAACACCTTCCCTTCGTATGGCTCGGTCATGTTACATGCGCCGAGACTGTCCCAAGGCCGGCCTTCGAAATGTGACGGCGAAAACGTTGTCAAAATCACCTCACGGCGGCCTCCTACCACTGCCTTCAACGTTGTTCTTATCGCTTTTCTAAACACATCGTAAAACCCTATCTCGGTACAGTTGCTTGCTTCACAAGAATGACATCCCAAAACCGAACCGTACTCGTAATAAACCGCCGGATGCAGAAACCAATGTCCCACGGAGACTACGACCGTATCAATACGTTCTAAATCATTGCCCCATCTCCCATCCACGCGGTCTAAGTTCAATACATTGTGGTCCAAGTTTCCCGATTTCTCTAAGCCGGCCACCAAAAATGGGGACCAGTAAACCGAGACCGTGACGTTGTGTGACTCGAAACGCCACTTTCTGAATTTATTGTCTTCTCCGTTTCTATACACGAGATCAGGGCTAGAGACGGTAGAGAGCAAGCAGATAAGAGACTCAAGCTGATTTCTAGCCATGGAATCACCGATAAAAGCTAGATGCTTGTCTTTCATAAGATCAAGAAACCGGTTCGCGTCAAATCTCGGTATATCGCATTGGTTCGGTTTCCATTTCCAATAAAGATAACCGGAATCAGGTCTACCATGGCGGAAACAGTTTTGACCATCCTTGATAGTTCCACATGTCGAACCATTGTAGAGTGGACCAATCTCGTCTCTGACCCATTTTCCTTGCGTATAATCGCATAAATTTTCCTCCTTTACACGATCATAACTCTCTTGAGTTTCTTCTTCTGCAGATTTAGACACCAACCCTAAAGTTAAATCCATAGAGTTTGCATATACACAATATTGAATAAGTTCAATATTACCTTGAGAAGAAGAAGAGTAGCTGGTGATCACAACGTGAGCTGCAGATTCTTGGAGAGAGGTGTCATCAATGGCGGAGAATGGATTAGTAAAACAGAGTCGAAACAGAGCTATTGGAATAAAAGCTGAGACTAAAAAAACTATAATCTTCCTCTGACTTAGACAATTTCGTTGCTCTTTCAATCCCATTTCAGGATCATAGAACAATGGTCTTATCTTCTTCTCTCTTTCTTTTTTTTTTTTTGGCCTTGTTGGTATTTGTTGTTTTGATTATTGATAATTATTAGTAAAGTATAGACGAGACGAGTGGGTTCAATGGTTTTGGTCCTTTTGGACCATGGAGGATTATTTTACTCAAAATATTTATTATTAGTCTGTGTCAATGCTGTTATTGTGCTTAATTTAACATATTTTCCACATCAAATTATAAATATTTTTTTTCGGACAGTGTAAATAGGTCTTTCTTTACTTTTTGCGTAGAGAAATTCTAACATATTTGTCTAAAGCATATGAATATATTCCCAATTTATTTTTTTATTATTTTTTTTTTACCTAAGACTCTATTCACTTTTCGTTAATGAGGTTTTAAAATTTTGCTAAATAGACTTATTAGTAAGTTTGGACTATCACCAATTATCATTGACTTATTAATAGGTTTAGAGTATATATTATCATTATATTAAAAATACAAGTTTATTAGTTTGTGGCTTGTCACTTGTGGTGGAGAAGCAAGTTGTCTTTGTTCAGTGAGTGGCCAGTCTGACATTGGACAGACTCGAATATGTTAAATGACGGAATAGCCCTTGATAAGGTGCGTCGATGACATTCTTTGTTGCTTTGCTCGTGTCCGGGTATAATTGTAAGTGAACACAGAAAAATGTTCTAAGTCAATAACGTGCCGCGATGTTAGTTTGATTAAAAGTTAACACTAATCATGGTGACACGTAAGCAATGTAGTTCAAAGACTTTTCTTAAGCGTTTTATTAGAAGTCTTAATCATTCGAATATTCCATGAGGAATAATTTAATCAATGTTATGGAGCTAGTAAAGTTTTTGACACTTGTACATATTTTTTTGTTTCTATTCGATGACGTTAGTGAAGTTTGACACTTTACACATTTTTAACTATTGTACGGCTTCAATGATTTCATGGCATATATAGTCAACGCAGAAATGATTTTACCCACCAACATGTAATGATTTTCAATCATTTTACTAGACGGTAAAATCTTTGAGAGCAATTAAAGATACTACATTTGTATTTGACCATCTGCAATTCAAAATAAGGTGTCTATCACAGATTCACAATGCATTTTGTACTGAATATTACATTTGACCAAATCATGATCAAGTATGGGTAAATAACATATATAAAATTGTGGATCAAAAACTTAGGACTTGATTGGTAAATAAAAGAGCGCAATAATAAAGAAAAAACATGTTAGATGGGCTAACTATACTAGCTTAAATTTTTACTCCAGTTCTATCTAGAGTAAACTTTAATGCTTAGAGTAAAAAAATTAAAAAAACATATGATCCTTACTTATAAAAAAAACCATCATTGCAAAGACTTATAGACAGTTTTATATCGAAGATTCTTTGCCAAAGACTTAAGACAGTTTTACCAAAACTGATTTCGGAAACACAATCGGCTTTTGTACAAGGACGATTGATTTCGGATAATATTCTCATTGCACAAGAGATGTTTTATGGGTTGAGAACTAACCCGTCCTGTAAAGGAAAATTCATGGCTATTAAAACGGACATGAGTAAGACTTATGATAGGGTGTAATGAATTTTCATTGAGAAAGTATTAAGAAAATTGGGTTTCTGTGAAAAATGGATTACCTGGATAATGTGGTGTATTAAAACTGTCCATTATAGAGTTCTCCTTAATTGACAACCTAGAGGACTAATAGTACCAGAAAGAGGATTACGACAAAGAGATCCGCTCTCGCCTTATCTATTCATCCTTTGCACAGAAGTGCTAATTGCGAATATTTGGAAAGCAGGAAGAGAAAAATTAATTACGGGTATCAAAGTAGCAAATGCAAGCCCTTCGGTTTCACATCTGTTGATGGTAGTTTATTTTTTTGCAAGGCTAACAAGGAACAATGTGGGATAATTTTGGAGATTTTAAAAAAGTATGAAGCGGTCTCGGGACAGCGGATTAATTTTTTAAAATTTTCGATTCAGTTTAAACATAAGGTAGATGATGATATCAAGGAAGAAATCAAATTAACCCGTAAATACGCGGACAAAACCCTCAAAAACCCGCAATCCGCCTGAGCTTGTCTGCGAAGCCCATTATTTTATGGACATGAAAAATGATGTCCGAGCCCCAGTGCCGGTCCAAACATTTTAAGTGTCTTAAGCGAAAAAGAAAAAAAATTATTTTTAATTTAAGTACTCCAAGCCAAAAAAATATATTTTCAAGTTTGACTATTAATTATGAGATATTAGCAGTATTAATAAACCACTAAGCTATATATTTAATCACTGTGAACTTAATTTAGATGATATGTATTAGTGTTTTTGTGGATTACACAAATAATTATAAGAATTTATAATTAATCTACCATTGTTTACACACTTGTTAAATTAATTCATACACCTATTAAAACTCTAAATACAAGAATCTTGAAGAAAAAAAAAACAACAAAACATATACATTAAAAAATAATAAACAAAAACATGTAATGGGATGAAAGACCTATGTTAATATAATGTAACCAAATCACGTGTGACCATTTTCTAATATTCAAGCGAGTGCCTTAAGCGGTCGCTTATGTTACTTACCCTCAAGACCGGCGCTGCCAAGCCCGCCCCGCCGTAGACTACTTGGACAAAACCCGCAGGCTGATAGCCCGCTTGACACCTCTATAGTAGAACGCATGTGCAAGATGGACTCAAACAACATGTGATCATCTCCGTTAACTTCGGTCCATTTCATTCTTCCATGTGCCCTCCTGTTTCCGACCATTTAAATTATTAACCAACCTAATCACCTTTGTCTGATAAAATTATCAGTCAAATTAAGGAAAACACTTTTTCACGGGTTACAACTCTTAAAAATGTTTTTACCAAAAAAAAACTCTTAAAAATGAACCCAATTTATAGTAATGAAGCTCAAGTGGTTGAAAAATTTATAATGAATTTGGAGAACCAAGATTCAAATCATACCATTGCGATTCAGTTAACTGTTGTTACTATGGTTTTTTAAAAGAAAAAAAAAATCGAATAGAAAATCTATAAATTAGTTTGAGTTTTAGGTCGAAATTTTTTGTATTAAAATATTTTCTGAAAATAATTAAAATATTAAAGACAAAAATCTAATCGATTTTACAAAGTTTACACTTTTTATGTGTAACAATTATTTGCTAAAGAAAGAACTTGTCTTTTAGGGAAACTCAATATAAATTTTTTTTATTAAAAATAAAATCTAGTAAAGATTTAGAATCTAATATTCAAGACTGACACTCAGGATTTGAAAAATCAAAAGTAGTGACAGGAGATAATGGGTGATGTAGTAGCTCACCAGCTTCCCATAATTTCTCTTTTGACAAAATAAAATGATTAGTTTAATTTATGCCAGCTCACCAGCTTCATTTTCCTCTTAATATTCTGCGAAAATAAAGAAATTTCAGTCAATTTCTTCAGTAAAACAAAAAACAAATAATATGCAAAACTAAATTTTGTAATTCATCTTAAACCAAATTCTAATTGGGCCATTTTAATAAATTAGGCCTGGTAATACCTTAATAGTAAAGACCAAGGATATATTTAAATGTATATATCTCTTGAGCCCATTGACGGTTACAGTTTGTTATATTGTCGACGCGAAGATATTTTTCAACCGTCATTTTTTCAAAACCGCGAATTAGAGAGTAAACCACCGGAGAGTTCGTTCGCCGCCATGAAACCAGCAAGTGCTACGGTGGCTAAACACGACGGTGAACGAGAAGACGAGAAATTCGCGGTGGGGACGGTATACGCTGTCAAGCTGATCACCGGAGATGAGTTCAATGGCATTGTCTTGGCATATGATTCTGCACCCAACTTCGCCATTTTCGATATCCTATTTCGAAATCAGTACTCGTAGCTTGTAGTTTACTTCGTCTTCTTGATTTCATCATCGTGTGATTGTTTTCGCACTTGGATTTTGCTGTTTCCTTGACGGATTAGTGATTTTACAAGAAGGAACGAAGCCTAAACCTCTGGATTCGAAGACCTTACGGAAGGTGAATGCGAAATACGTAACGGAGATGAAGAATATGGGGAATGTGAAGGATCCGCTCGCTAAAAAGACTTTGGTTAATCTTGATGGACTCATAGATAAAGAGAATCAAGCCATTAGGTGATAATTGTTGCAATTGGTTGTGAAATCGCTATTATTGTTTCGAGTTTTTCACTGATTTTGGTTAATGTATTACTCAGGAACGTCGAGAAAATTGGTTTTGGTGTTACCTCAGAAGCGCAGAAGATCTTTGACGCGATTTCTAAGACGTAAGGATCTTTTTGGTTCTTTATATTGAATGGATGATGATGGTTTTGTTGTACAATCGAATCTTGTTATGGTTTAGGCTAGTTCTTGTGTGAAGAATTTCTTGATTTAGCCTGGATTGGTTACTGTTTTATTGCTACTTTTGATTGTTTAACAGCTTTGTTTCTGGTGGCAATGAGGTCTGGATTCAGTTTAGCGTTTGTATTGTTCTTGGTTTCCAGAAGATGCTCTATGGTGGAATGTGTCTTAAGCCTTGCTTCACTTGTTTCTGCTATAAAAATGCCTCTAAATCAGCGTCAGAACTCAAATCTTTACTAGAGTTGTCATATTTGTCATGGCATTGCGTTTTTAGTGCTTGTGGTTTCAATAAGATGCAAGCTTTTTGGGACTATATACTTGTTCTATGGTCGAATTGTGTCTTTAGCCTGGGTTTAGTTGTTGCTGCTATCAAATCAAAGATTAACTAAATATACTATAATGGAGTAGAATTGTCAAAGAAAGCAAGTAGGTAGTTTTTGTTGCTACCTTTGGGTCAATTTGCTTTTATTGAATTCCACATTGTTGTAGGCTACTTATGTTGTGTAGCCGTATTGGTTGTATGCTTATGATGATGAATCATTCTATTGAATTTTAGCATTTTCTCATTTTGATTGAATGTTATGTGATGCTGCATTCTCCAGGCTTCCTATACGCTGGGATAGCAAAGACATGCTGGTAATGGGAGAAGTGATTGTTCGTAGCCCTTATCATTCTGATTGTGTCTTTGGAGGAACCCGTGCTGTCAATGATCGAGTCAAGACTGTGGTAAGTGTTGATACAAAGTAGCAAATGTAATATTTGCGTTTCATGTGATATGAATACAGTTTTGCTGTGTAACAGCTGGAGCAGGTGAGAAAGAAGTTGCAACTCAGTGACACATGAGATGAGGCCATTGATGGAGTTGTTCAATGAACATAGAGCAACAGCGTAAGTCTCTACTATCCCTAGTAGCAGTACCCTAGATCTGATGCCATGTGTAAATTCGCTTCACGATAAGAAGATTTAGAAATTTTTGAGTTGCAGAGATTGAATTTTGGTGTTGTTGACAAGAACACAGATAGTGTCAGCATTTTCCTCTGTATATCAAATCTGAATCCTGAAACTGAAAGCTTTAATGAATGGTGAATGGCTTGAACTAGTTAAGACTTAGATAGTGAAAATTTTTGTAGAAGTCCATGGACTCTACTAATGGGTCGTCGTAGCCCAATCACAACAATGCCCATAGTGAATCTTAGTTATATCATATAGTATTGATTATAGGAATGAATATTTTTCATTTATGAATGTGCATGGTTTCAATGTATTATCGATATGGCTCCTGCAAAGTCACATTCGCAAGCTTCTTTAATGTCAAATCTAAAAGAGTGTTACATTCCTTTTTGTCTTTCTTTAACCAAAACCAGCTTTCGCCTCTCTAATCCTCTTTTGCTTTCGCCCCCATAAAAAAAAATGCCTTTCGCTTTCTACTTTTTCATTCCTTTGCTGAAATCTCTGTAAAAAATTTTAATCTGAAAAAAACTTACTTTATAGCTTTCAGTCACTGTGTGCTCAATGCTCATTGCTTTTCTTTATGCTCATTTCCTTTCTCTGACATTCATACTCTTTTTCCCTTAACACTCTTTTCATTAAATCTGAACGAATCGAAACTATATTCTAACTGCGTTTAATTATATAGATGATATCTATACCGAGCTATTTGTCACAGGTGTGTGTGCGAGTGTCCTTGTAACAACATGAATAGGTTGGAGTAGGTAAAGAGTGCATGATTGATGATGAAACAAAGGACTTTGGTTAGGAGGAAATGTCATTGTCCGCTAGAGAAATGAAAGTGCAATAGTGACTAAATCTTGGTTTGTGACCATAAACAACAAAAAGCAAACCCACGAAATTTTTTCTAAAGTTAAAAAACACAAATAAGAGACGCTCCCTCGAGAAACTAAGTTCACTCACGCCCTACGGGTCGGGCCATGCCACCATTGTATTCTTCTCTCTTTCTTTTTTATTTTAATGATTCCTTCTCTAAATATCATCTCATATGTCACTTTATATTCTTTCTACTTTTCAAGCATCCAAAGTTTGATTATTTTAATGAATATATAGTGTATCTTCTTCTCTAAAGACTAAAGGCAAAGAAAGAATCCATGTGCAAACTTTGTTTCTACATGTTCTAGCATATATTCCCTCGCATTTCTTGTCTCTTTTGTTTCGCTTTAAGAACAAATAAAAATGCTTTCGTATTTTCTTAAATCTCATTACGTACTTGATTAGTACTCGGAGAGGTGAGTTTGATATAATAGATTGCATGTAATGGTAACATGTACGCAGAGAGCATAATGAAGAAATTATCAAAATAAGTTGATATGAAATATGAATAGAGAAATAGGCTGGTTGGTTATATCTATGCGTATTGTTCTGAAAAAATTACTCCTAGGATCCTTCACTTTTTAACACTAGTTGAGAATAAAGTGAAGTCTTTCTGATTTTATTCCTACTCACATCCACATGATCTACATGCGCCTATATACACAATACACACTCACCTACATGTGTATGTAATGTAATACTAATAAATCTCCTCATTTTCTATAAATTAAAATGAATGCAAATCATCATGTCATATAATTTCATCGTTTTGTCTCTACCCCATTCCCATTAGTTGTCATTATCCATTTTCCTAGCTATAAGAAAATTAATGTATATTCTGTTTGATAAACTAAGTACTGCTCGTGAACTGTATGATACCAAAAGGGGTTTAAATATTCATGCGAGAATTAAAAGGTATGCAATTAATGGCAAACGCGTGTACCAAATAACAGGACAAGGATCAATTAAGATAGTTATTAAAAGATGATTGTCTTTATACGCTGATATATAGGCAAGCTTAGGTCCCTTTGTGTCCCCGTGTGTCCTAATCAAAACCCGAAAGAGGATTAAAATAAATAAAAAGTTGATAAACAATGATAAAGGTAACCCCCCCATGATTAATATGTCCAAATGTGTGGGCTGGTCATTATTTATTTATAATTAGCATTTAGCAGTTGCTAATCACCTAACCATAGTCTCTCTTTACTTTTGCATCATGTTTAGATTAAATAGTAGTGGGTGAAGCTTCTATTCTTTCTCGTATAAAGATATTTTGTATTCATATTCCTGTAATAGTTATCTTGTACGTATTTATAAGTCCATCTGGTTCAGGGTCAGGTTGTCATGTCATATTGATGCTCTTTCAACATACCATTTATATTCATAATTCATGTCATGAATTTTACAAAATCGTGCCAACTTTTTTGTAAAAGAAAAGGAAAAGTTAATAAATAGTGACTACTAGTACGGGAGTAGAAGCAGTAACATATTTCCTTACGTACATTTGAGTGGAATGGTTTCAAAATCTGGTAAGTGGTAACAGTGCATTGTTGATATTTGGATTTAAAATATATTATGTCATATCAATGTATGGTTGAAAATTGGGAAAAGTGAAGTAAGCTAAAATAATAAATAAATAGAAGAGGAGCGTCATGAGGATATAGAAAGTATATTACGTTGTGACATCCGATAGATAAGTAAGGAAATAATGAGATTAGTGTAAAGCATATGAGACGTGGGATTAGTTCACTGGAGGGCGAGCAAATAATGTCGTTGATCGAAAATAAATAAATCTCATTACGTATATTAAAGTAATTAATTAGAATGAAGAGGATGGAGACATTTTCTCAACGTGGGGTTCACTTCTGTCGGCACAAACTCAAACTCAAACAAACCAACTTAGTTATAAGATTAAAATACAATAATGTAAAAATGTTTTGTTTTGCAGTAAGCTTTATTTTTTTCTTTTCATTTCTTATTTCCCCTTTTACTTGTAGAATCGTGTGCATACCTATATGTATATGGATAGTCAAAGATGGTATTTTTGTGTGGCTAATGTTTGAGGGGTTCGAGAGAGATAGAACGGTGTAACTACGTTATGGTTTCGTGGTGAGACCACTTTCTCTGACATGGAGACAGATCAACATCACATGTATGCTACTGCTCCTATTAATTGTTTCTCTTTACTAAAACCAAGATAGAAATTAAACACTATTTTTTACTTCTTTTGTATTATTTTTTACATATAAATTTTTTTTCTTTTGTATTTTTACTGTTGTTAAAATCGTTATATAAAAAATTACTTTGTAGAATTATGCGTTAGAGAACCCCTGATCAAGAAAGAAAATGTGTTTCGGAAATTAGGGCAAAATTGAGAGGGAGCTTACATTTTCAAACATTAAATACATCTTTTCTTCTTCTGGACTTAAAATTAAATATCCTCTCTGTTTCACAAAGAGTGTCATTTTAGAGTTTTGCACACAGATTAAGAAAACATTAAATTTTTTGTTTTTTCTAAACAAAAACATCAATAACTATATACCTAAACATACTCTACCCAATAGTAAAACAATATGCAGAATACTAATAGTCATAAAACATAAAAAGTTATTAAATTTTGCATTATAAACCTAAAACGACACTCTTTGTAAAACAAAAATAAAACCTTAAAACGACACTCTTTATGAAACGGAGGGAGTACATTTTTTCTTTTGTCTTTATACGTTCGTCGTTCAATAAAATACATAATCGATCCACACAACACACATGTTCACATGCTTTGTGCTCCCACAGGCCACACCAAAATCAAATCTCACCACTCATATTATCCTCTCACGTCTATTAACCTCCTTGTCCACGACCATTATTTAGTTCATGAATGTACTTTTTTCTTCATATAATCAAAAACGTTTATATATAAAATTTAACCTTTCAAGAAACCAAAAAAAAAAAATCATATATATACACATACGTGACACCTTACACGCATGCATACGTTACGAAAAACGCACCGTGACAAAACTCATTTTGGAGTCCACGAATACGTATATAAATCAAAAACACAAAAATTTCCCGCCAAAAATAAAAGATTTGAAGAGAAAGAAAAAACAAACACGTGAGATACACGTCTCCGACACGTGAAGTCACACACAAAGGAATCAAAAATCTTAAAAATCCAAAAAACAAATTATATATACTTCGCATTTCGCAACTTGATTTTGTTTTGATGAAGCTGAGGAAGGGTCCCATAAACTGCTGCGATCCATTAAGACAAAGAGCTCTCTGAAAAATCTCCACTCACAAATCTTTTGCAAACGCTCCCCTGTCTTATCCATCAGTACCTGTGAATGAGGACTCTAATGCAAATGCTCTTCTCTCTCTCTCACACACACACACACACTCACATGATCATATCTTTTCTCTAACACGTGTGTGTTACCACTCACTCACTCATTTTGCTTTCTTGGGAATCTGCAAAGCCATTAATGATGAGCTTTGTCTCTCCCAACCAACCAACCAACCCCAAAACCCAATTTTAACACTTTCCATAAAAGTTGTAACCAAAACTCTTATTCCTTCCCCTTGGTTGGAAAACTCTAATTTTAACTTAACTCACCCAATAACCACTTTTATCTTCTTTTCTTCATCACTCCCCTTATTATTATGTACTTGTTAAAAAATATACTCTACTTAAACAGAAGATGTTTTTTTTTTCCTAGATTTTGTTTCCTTGGTCCTCTAGTCTCACTCCCCACATTTTAATTAGAGGTAGACTTTTGATCACCTACCCACGAATAGCCACTTAGTTTCCTCCTTTTACAAGGAGATGATGATGAGAAAGAGGATTCATCACTTGGCCTTGTTAACATCGATGCTGCCCTTACGCTTACTCGAAGCTTTGCTATCACTTTTGGTGTATTTAACCGATTATTCTCTACCGCCATCGCTTTCATCAGTCTATAGCATCTCACTATCTTCTCCTGAAAGTCAAATATAACAAAAAGGCATTAATTAGCAATTTGTTACTCCCTTGTTCCATCTAAATGTGACATAACAATTCCTACTTTGCTCAATCCTTCACACCAAGTCTCAGGGCTCTCGTGGGGATTTACAACAGAGGACAGAGAAGGGAGCTCATTGGCAACACAGAGAATCGCAGCTGCAGCTATACTCGATGGCCAGTACTCAAGAAAGCTCGCTTCTGTACTAATTGGTCATGTGTTAGAACCATCCCAAATTATGTTACCTAATTGACATTATGGATCATACAATACAACATTACGTACCTTTTATGTTGGAGAGTATAATCTCTGTAGCATGGGAGATAAAGAACCCGAGAAACGTTCCCGAAGGATCGATCTTGTAAGCAAAGAAGCTAAGGAAATCAAACGGTGTAACGGATCTTAGTCTCCAATCTAACACACTTAGAACAAGAAGTTCCATTCTCTTTATCGTTTTTGCTTCAAATATATACTTCACTCCTGCAACCTACATTTACATATACAGAGAAATGAATTAAAATATACTTTAAAACAGAGCAACTTCAGATTCTTAAAGAAAGAAAAAAAAAATATCTACCTGAAAATCGAAAAGAGAAGGAACGAGAATTTCCTCCATCTTTGCAGCTAAAGACAAGCATGCCACTGCTAAAAGTTGCATTGGCCAACCACTCGTTTCCTATTTTTGCAGAAATTAAAGCTGATTAATATAATCATTTGATTAAATTACAAGAATTAACTCAAATATTATATCGTAGAGGAGCGTTTTAACACTATCATTATAAAGTTTTCAATAAAGAGGATATAAAGTTTACTGCAAAAGTATACTATTATTATGTAAACATCAATGTAAAATATAAATTTGTTTTCATATTTGATAATATAATAAAAAAAAACGAAATAAAATCCCCCATCCCGCTCCTGTTCTATCGTTTACGTACATTCCAAATATCAGATTAATTTCTACTAAATTAATCTCGTCTAATTGGTGTTCTATACCGATTATAATTTTTTGCTCCATTAAATTTTTTTTGAAAGAAAAGTCAATAAACATATCGATCCATAAAAAGAAAAGGTGAAATAAAACAAGGACTTTTTTTGGGTTGTTATTTGTCATATCAATATAATCAAAAACAGAGAACTAACGTTGACGTTTTTAAAAACTTACCGGTAATCGACGAGCGTAAAGAAACCGGTCCATATAGTTAACGGCGAGGTACGCCGTTAAAGGCTGAAAGTTATAATACTCTTGTACCTGTAACCAAACAAAACCACAATACTGTCAAATAAACCATCACAAAGAGACAAAGATTCAGACAATAAATATTCTCTGCATGTAAACGATTCGATCGGCGTATTTTAGCATCGGCACACTTTCCGGCGGCGTATTTTAGCTTAGTTTTTTTTTTTTTTTTTTTAAATGAGAGATAGAGAAAAAGTGAATAGCTCGCCTTGAGAATCCATGCGACGGAGTCTTCTCTAGCGGAAGCATCGAGAGATTGAGTTTGGAACCTAGAGAGATAATCATGTCCAGGAACAAAGTGACGCTCGTCTTCGATAAAACAAGCGATAGAATCATCCGGCCATGAATCAATCTCTGAAGACGAGAAATCAACCGTTGACTCACCGGAAAACACACCGGAATCTTCTCCGCATAACAAATCCATATCGTTAGAAAAATCGGAGGATGAAACTGACATGAGTACACAATCACTACTAAACCGGTAACTCCTCATTCTCTCCCCATAACCGGAGCTAGATAAACCGGTGAGATCTAAAAGAGAGAAGAAGAGAGAAGTGAAATGTGAATTTGTGTGGAGAGAAGAGTGAAGGTTTAAGACATTCATTTGTTTGGATATATAAACACGAAACAGAGATTTTAATATTTTTATTTATTTAAATGAGTAAAGAAAAAGAAAAAAAAAAAAGTGGTGTTGTTGCAAATGAAACAGAGAAGACCGAAGACGGTTACGGTTTCCGTTATGCCCGAGAAAACGGGACTGTTGTCACTGTTCCATGAATCAAGACGGGGATGGTCCGAATCCGATCATTGGGTTTTGAATTTTGAGTTTTTTTATTTGTTGGTTTATGTTTTTTACTAACATGCGCTAAAGTGAAACGCGTAGGTTAGGAACGAGAAGTGGTGTAATTACGTAATACGTGGCAGGTTAAGGCGTTGCATGAGTACATTACAGCTAATGTACGTTTGTTTGTACATTACCTCGTGAAGAAAGATGGCCGTATTTTTGAAATTAATGGTGACGTGGAGTTTATTAATTGGTGATTAGCTTAATGGGCCTGGGTAATGAAGCATTTTCTGTGATTTGGACCATTTTGTTGGTCGCTTAGAGAAACATTTTTACGTGTTTAATTTGGAATTTGTCGGTTAGCAGATAAAAGGGATTTTTGTCAATAATGGCATGAAAACGGGTTTTAGTTTTTCGAAGTGCTATTATGAAAAACTCCTTTTGCAAATAGGTCATTGTTGTACGTTGTGGCACATGTAAAATACATTCTTCCCCTTGTAGACAGCAAGGGATATGCGAGCCTTTATATAAAGAGGGTTACGATTTGCACAAGACTTCATCTCTTTCTCTACTGCACTCTTTTCCCTAGCCCACCAAATTCTCTCTTGTTTCCACCACCAGCAGCTCTTGTCCTCCACTTTCATTATTCACGTCCATAAGATTTTCCTCTAAACTTGTTTGTCTCTCATTTTCTTCCTCTTATGCTTTTTCGTCCACCAGTTTCTTATACGGATCCCAATCCACATGATATGTCCATTGGTCATAATCATATGATGGTTCCTCCTCTTTCTCTACTCCAACCTTATAATACTCATAACTCCCATTGTCGCCTCCCTAGTCCACCTCCTTCCCCTTGTCTACCATAACTGGTCCATCTCCTTAAGTATCTTCGTCTAATTTCATTAGTTTAGTCTGCAAGATATGGCAAAATGATGTTTTTAGAGGACAAATTTGGATAATCGATGGACAACAAGATTGATAGATCTAAGAACAATTTCGTGACCAAAACAAACTGACAAACAATTGCCAATGATCAAGAGTTACCTTTTGCTTGGATTTGTAAATCGTGGACGAATATTATGTTTAGAGAAAGAGATACATAAATTTGAATTAATTCCTTGGGTTACCAATGCAACTCCGGCAGAATTAAATGCTCAGCCGAGCAGTCAAACCATCGTTTCTAGGAGGGCATTTCCGTCTTTCTTTGTTGCAAAAATGGCCTTCCCCAATCCCCATAACAAGTTTTTTAAATGGTGTTCCGAAAAATAAAAGTCTAAAAAATGGCAGAATCGTTAAAAATCTCCAGATAAAAAGCTTCGAAAGATCGAATCAAAATTACCGATGTTATCAAATTCTGAATCATTATGGTTAATCTAATCATATTATCTCTTAATAAGAATAAGTATTTGATTTGCTTGAATGCGATGATTTTGTTATTGTTTTGATGTGATTAGATGTAACACCCCCAAACCATTTTAGGCACATGACGGTTGCTCAATAGATTTGAAGCACTTTTATGTTTCAAAAGCATTTTATTTTAAATGATGTTTTGCATTTTATTAAAATGCGAAAAGTTGACTATCCCTTATATATTAATTCAGAAAAATTCTTGAAGAAAACTTTACGTTTTATTAACAAAATTGTGACATATAGTTTTCATAGAGATTTTTAACCTATTTAAATATTTTTCCAATCTTTACTAGCATATTTACATATTTTGCTATTAGTGTTATATATATATATATATATATATATATCACACATATAAAAAAATGAAATTCAAATTAAGTAAAGCAAATTAGGAATCAAATAAACTACTCACAAAGATGTATATGATTGTTTTTATTGAAGTTAAAAAATAAATTATACTTTTCAATTATTTTACGGATAAACCGAATTTTAATACGAAAAATCGATGTTTTGAATAGAATAGAAAATATTTTAGATGTTTCGTAATTTATTCAGATTTTGGATAATAATACAATATATTTTAGGGGCTTTTGCAAAAATGCCACTTTTTCAATGCCACTTTTCAAAAATACCCCTTTTTTAAAATCTTATAAAAAATGCTCTTAAAAATATAAGATTTACCCAAATATGTATGTAATATTATTAAAACATACACAAACTACATTTATGTGTATCTAAAATCTTATAAATACTTTATAAATACCTTATAAATGCATTTTAAATACCTTTAAAAACCATTAAAATATCTTGTAAAACCTTTGAAAAACCTTTAAAATCCTTTAAAATAACTTGTAAAACCTTTAAAAACACCTTATAAAACCTTATAAATACTTGGATCGAGTCTTCAAGTAGTAGTTACAATCCATAAGTACCTTATAAACCTAATAAAACATTATAAAAATTTCAGATTTAAAAAGGGGCATTTTTGAAAATTGACATCTAAAAGGGGCATTTTTGAAAAGGGACACACCAAAAGGGGTATTTTTAACAATTTCCCTAGATTTTATAACTAAAACTACAATCTATTTACTTAATTATCATTTTAATCTGAACATAATGCGGATAAAGTCTTATAACTTTCTTTACTTAACGATACCATAAGTATTTGATTAATGTTTTAGGTTGCGATCCGGATGTCCCTGGTATTAGTCGAAAAACATTCCAAATTTAGGTTAGACAGTATGATAAATCTTTCGAAAAAATTCTACTTTATAGTCTTTTGGTGCATTTTTACCGGGACTAACGAGATTAATGATATAATATATATAAAAATAAGATAATTAGGAGTTTAAATAAGATTGGTTAATTAGAGGAAAGGGAAACAGTGGTCGGGAGCGTGTGGGAAAGAGTAGTGGAAGTCTTTTTCGCAGAACCGGAGATTTTCTTCACATTCCTTTTTGTATCAATATGTCATATATATGTGATCCCTTATTGGTTTAATTATGCCATAAAAGTGTTAAATCATTGGCCTGTTTTTATTAATCACTACTGTAGTTACTTTCTTTCACGTGTGCCTTACAAAATCTTTGATTTATACCATAAGTATTTTTGCTCTTTCGTCTTTAATTATACCATTGGGCATTGGGATAAGATCTCGGTTTATCGTAATTAATTAATGATTATAAATAATTCATCTCGATTTATAAAATGATACCAGTTCTATATCCAAATTTTCGCTTGCCGTATAATATCAGGTGTATTAGAACAAATGTTTCATATTTGTTTTGTGTGATTTGTCTATGCAAATTTGCATAACATTTCTAAATATGTTCATACTGACTAGAATTAAAACTTATGGAATAGCTAATATACATCAATCACACTTTTGTATACTATGTAACTAGTTGACTATACTAATTAAACAGTGATGAAGTAGATACTATAATTAAATTCTGCACAAAATGATTATGTTGGAGTCATTAAATAAAAACTGCCAAATATAACTCTCTATTGTTGACAAAGAAAAAATTTCTCTATTTTATTTTTTAAAAACACTCTTGGTATAAAAAAATCCATGGTGAAATTAGTTTGAAATTTTGTGTTTCTATCAAATTTCTGGTTATAAGAAAAAAACTAATTTAATTTTTCTAAAGCCTTGTCCAAAAAAAAAAAAAGTTATCATTTTTTAAAGCCAAAAAGGGCGGAAAAGCTACTAGGCTACTAGCAACGCAGGTAAAGAAAATAACGTCGAGAAAATAACCATTCAAAACTACATTGTACCATATAAATTAGAAACAAATAGGATACTTTTTGAATTAGAAATATTTTGTTGGTATCTTCGGCGGAAGACCTTCTTCATTATCTATTTGTTATGGCTATAGGTTGGTCTACTAATTCGTTTTCTCTGTTTAGGTAGACAATATTTAAAAAATATTACTTACATTCAGATTCTGCATTCACATTTACAGTTACATTAACATTTTTATCATGCATTTTATGTTTATTTATATTAACATTAATGAAGCCAAGAAATTGAAATCTGAAAGGAGGGAAAATATGCACCTCCCAACCTACAACAATTTATCAGACTGACACTACATTCTCGTGGTAGGGTTTGTCATTTTTGTTAATGTCTTATTTTCTTGAAGAAAATCAAGACGATTCATGGCTCATGGGAGCTCTTGCCTTATAGTCAAAGGTCATTGTTGAATGGTTATTTCAGATCTAATTATATCGTACATATGATATCACTAGACATGATCTTATACTATCATCGTCACATTAATTGATACTACTCATTAAGAAATGTTCTTTTTCTTTCTCCTGTACTGTAGCATAGTCAACTCAGACCCTATTGATATATCTCTTGGATATGTAATCATAATAATGCATATTTTTGTAATATACAATGATGATCATGAGTCCATGTTGAGTTACTAGAATTACAATGAATAGTTAACAAGTGGGTCTAGTCATTTTCAGCAATATATGTTTTTTTTTTTATAAACCCTATCGGCTGATCCGGTCAGCCCCGGTAGAAACGCACCGAAGTGCTTCAGAGTGAACTTCTCCCCGAAGGGCCGCCACACTGTCTGTCCCGAGTTTGAAATGCTTTCCGACTAATACCAAGGGGTAGCCAGATCGCCTGTTACTGGACTATCAAGTAAGCCCAGACTTTCTACACAAATGTGTTTTTGTTTCCAACGTGGATCGAACCTGGATTAGTTCCTTCAAACTTTCTCCAATTCTCAACAACCACTGGACCACAGGACATGTTCTTTTCTTTCTACATTGAATAAATTTTGGGAAGCATTTCCACAATATTCTTTTTAAAGGAGAACATGAAAATGAATAATCAAAACATTGAAAAATCGGTGAATTCAAATCATTGAAGCTACCAATTTCAATGGAATGATAATGACGCCTATATAACAACATGAATTTTAAAATTCGAGTTCCAGACTCCGATTTATTATATAACAACATGAATTTTAGTTTTTCACATTTTTTCTGTCTATAATCAAACTATCAAACATATCAACAACACTTGCAAGATGAGTGATGAATAGTGACATTTTCACATACACTGTACAACACAGTAACTAAAGATCATTGTTTCTCGTGTCCACTTTGTTCTTCTTCGTTGAAGTAAATTTATTTCGTTTCTTAAGGTTGAAGAAGTATTTAGTAAACAATATTTTTGAATCTTTACACTGCAAAAACTGGAGTTA